ATTAGCCAAATATAAGTATAAAATGCATGTAGACATATAAGGAAAATAATTTACTTTCTATGTGGGGAACTAGCCAATTCAGGAACTATGGATTTTTCAGGTTGACTTTTAAGTCCATACTGCTACAAAGGCATATGATTTGTGAATTTATATATAGTTACACAAAGATATAGATAATACTACATGGAACATCTTGAAGTAATTGTAATCACTGCTTCTATTGGTCATAGTTTCAGTGGGTTAATATAAAAATACTTTGTGGGACTGAGGATGCATGGCTTATAAATAAACTTTTCAGATTTGTGAGACTCGATTAGTTTCAAATTAATATTCTCAAATGGTTAACATCTTAACTGCTAATATTTTTAAATGCTACATATATTTTAGTATATAGTCTGTTCTAAGAACACTTCTGTGAGGGAGAGATTGATGCAATCTTAGTTCACAGCTTCTTAACCAAGCTCTGTGTTTAAAAATTCAGAAGTTTTTTCTTCATTGAACAAGGAATTTGAAAGGGGACTGGTACAAGCAAAATAATTCTGAATTATCCCCCCCTTTCATAGTTGATTACTTTATGTTTTAGATCTGCGTCGCTTTGCTTCCTTGTGGTTATATTTAATTTGGGATGTAAATTACTATGAATTACCCTCGTCATAGAAAGTTCATTGCTTTCTTATAGTTCTATAGATTTCAGAGGTTTTTCAGGTGGCCTTTTATATTTTGAAGCCAAGAGAGTCTAATCCTCACATAACCTTATTGTTTGATGTGGTTATAGTTTTGTTACTCTTTTTGTGACCTCAAGACCAAGATATCTGGCTGTTTAAGAATAAATGCCCTTTGGAGTGATGCTAGATCAGGCTCCAGTGGATGAACCCACGTGGAGAGGCATTTGGGGACACAAACTTGACTCAACAGGTCTTGACATACATGACAGAATACATGAAATCCTGTGAGCAGGGGATGGGTGTGTGCAGATAGGGGAGGATGTCTAAATATGATTACAATGTATTGTATGAAATGCAGAAAATGTGAACAAAAATATATATTGAAAAAAGAGAATAAATGCCCTTTGATTCTGCCACTTTTCCCATTCTGTCCAGTAGTTCCTGAGAGACATAAATCAGAAGTTCTGTTATAGTTATGCAGTGTACCTAAAACCATCCTTCCCTCTGCACTATAAACACGGCCTTATGTGGTTCTTTTAGTGCTCTCTAAACCCAGCTAAGAGTAGACTGCCTGACCTAGTCAACTCTTTCATAGTATTCTGCAACATATTTCCTAAAACCTGTTATATTAAACCTTAAACAATCAGCATGTAAGAGTAATTGAGGCCAATTTAAATCTCTACCAATATAAGTACCTTCTACTTTCTGATCTTCTCCATAGCCCCAGTCCAGTTAAGGATATCTGTACGTTATTAAATAAGTAGATATTGGCAAAGTTGCCCAGGTTGGTCTTGGATCCCTGATCCTCCTGCTTCAACCTCCCAAGTAGCTAAGAACACGTGAATCATGCAGCATATACAGCAAAAATAATTCTGTGCATGTGTGTGTGTGTGTGTGTGTGTGTGTGTGTGTGTGTGTGCGAAACCTCCATGGCATACATGTGGAGGAGATCAGAGAAGAACAACTTGTGAGAGTGAGTTCTCTCCTTCTACCATGTGGGTCCTTGGGATCAAACTCAGGCCATTAGGCTTGGTGGCAAGTGCCTTTACATACTGAACCATCTCACTGTCCACAAAAATGTATTCTTAACTTTGATTGTCTAATATGAACAGTAAAATTACTCATTTTAAATTTTATCTTCTATATTAGAGTTCTCCAGAAGAAAAATGGTGATAAATAGATATAAAGGCAGATATAGAGACAAAGATGATAGATGAGATTTATTTGGAGATTTGGCTTGTGCTTGTGAATGTTGAGAAGTCCCACTATCTCCCATCTGTAAGCTGCAAACCAAGAACACAGGTGGTGTATTTCCAATCCAAGTTCAAATGCATGAGAGCCAGCAGACAGAACCAGTAGTTCCCAAAGCAAAGTCCTGAGCCCAGAGAACCAAGGAGATGATTTTAAGTCTTAGTTGTAGTCTGAAGACCCCAAAGCAGGAGTGACTACGTTCCAAGGCAGAAGAGGATGGATGTTCCAGCTTCAGAAGGAAATGCCATATGGGGTGGTGCTTGCTTTCATTCTCAACAAGTAGGAGACAGAGAAGGCAGATTCTGTGATATCACAGCCAGCCTGGGAAGATCCAGGCCAGCTGGGGCTACTGGAAGCCTCTGTCTCAAAAAAAGAAAAAGGAAAAGAAAAAGAAAAAGAAAAAGGAAGGCAGGAAGGGAGGAAGGGAAGAAGGGAGGAAGGGAGGAAGGAAAGGAGGAAAGGAAGAAAATCTGTGCTCCATTTTTCTGTTCTATGGGGGCTCTCAACAGACATTATGACCCTCAACCCCATTGGTGAGCTGATTAAAATGCAAATCTCTTCCAGAATCACCCAGCCAGATGCACCTGGAACATTGTTTCCCTAGCTATTTGACAATCCCTTAGTCCAGTCTAGTTGACTGGTATAACTATTAGATCTAATAATGTAACTAGATGGATGGGTGCAGTCTACATAATCTCCACAAATTTGAACTTCTCATAGTGGTATTTCATTACCTATTTGAAAAGGTGAAAACCTTTTGAAGAACTAACAAGGAACATAACAGAAAGAAAAGTGCATCATAGATACTTAGTGATATACATATTCAAACTGATAATCATAGAATATTTATAAAATTGCAAAGTCAGAGTAGAGATTAAGGATTTAATAATGATTACGTCAGTGACAAGTTTAGTATATCTTCTGTTTACTGTCAACTCAAAAAATGCAATGTCCTGGGGCTGGAGGGATGGCTCAGTGGTTAAGAGCGTTGGCTGTTCTTTCAGAGGTCTCAGGTTGTATTCCCTGCACCTACAATGTGCCTAAAGACCATCAGAAACTCCAGTTCCAAGAGATCTGACACCTTCTTCTGGTCTCCACAGGCACTGCACAATACAGGTGCACTTACATCAAGCAGACAGTACACTCATACACATAAAATAAAAAAAAAATTTAAGATTATTCCTTTTTATTTAAATAAATGAAATATCCTAAATGAAATAAAGGTATGAAAAGGAATGAGACTGTGCAATTCTTTTGTATGTGGAGTTCCATGTAAGATCTGATGGCATGATTGCTATTCTGAAATATTTCAGTGCTGAAATATCTGTCCTTTTGCTGAGTAATATCTTTGAAGATAAGTAAAAGACAGTGGCTGGGCTTCTGTCCATTTGTTATTTCAAAGACTATTCATAGACTTTTTCAAATCTTCTGACTTTGGAACACAGAATTTCTGAAATCAGTTTTTGGCCTATAAAAACAAATTTATGAAATTATGCAACACTACACAAACATGTTTTAGCCCATCAAAAACTGTTAGGATAAATGAGGAACATAAACATTTCCTTTCTTGTTATTTTTGACTTTTCACTGTTTTACAGACGTTGGGCATTCTGAAATATGCAGTTTAGTAATTTGCATTGCAAACAGATTACAAGTAAGTGACCTTTGCAAAGTGTTTCTGACTAGCATATCCCTAGTAGAGGTCTGTAATTTTTTCCCCTTTTAGGGGGTTAGTGGAGGAGGAAACAAAACACTTTCATTCTTCTCAGAAATGAAGACACATGCCTCATTTATGGTACACTGAAACAGGATGCTTAACACACATAATATATTCTCAAGAATAAAAATTATGTGATGGTATATTTAAATGGAAAATTCAGAATGTATACGGAGCATGTACATTTTATGGAAAACAACAGTTTGTTAGAAAAACTAATTTTTAAGGTCTATTAATATCAAAATGGACTTGAGGGTTGAATGATTTAATGTCACTTGTTAGCAGAGAAAGGCTTGTTGTGTTGCTAATGTGAATGCTAATGGTTAAGTAGCATTAAAAAGACTATAGATAAGGGGCATCTCATTTTCAAAATCATGGTATGTTAGGCAACTGTCAGCTACAAAATAATTTCCAAAAATGGCCTGATTTCTGTTTTGACTTGCATTGTATAGAAAAAAAGTGCTGTTCCCATAGAAAATAAATTTGGCCCTAGGTCATAATATTACTTCTGTGACCACCAGTAGTTTCTAGGAATTTAACTTAAACAAACTTATTGTGTTTTCTTTTCTTCATAATTAGTCCACCTACCTTTCTCTCAATCATTCTTATCAATTAACATTCAACAGTTACCTAGCAATAGAAGACCAGAAGGAAGTGCCCTAACATATTTTCCATACTTTTATCAGAGTTAGAAATTTCAGTCAATGTAATCAGGTATTTAGTATTTCTATGTCTTATAAGGTTCAGTTTTCAATAAATGTCTAACTAAAATGCCCTACATAGTTGCATGGTTATACATTAAATACTTCTTTCTGAAGAATTTTAAAACTCCTTAGCCTATATGACTCAAGAAAGTTGTCCACTGTATTGTGTGACCCTATCTTACACTTTATATATTGAAGTACTAAACATCAAGTTTCTAAGAATTGACTGTATTTGGAGATAGGTACTTTAAATAAGTTATTAAGATTAAAAGGGGGTATCTTAATATCATATGACAGGTGGCCTTATAAGAAAAGGAGATTTGAACACAGGCTACACAAACAGATGGGCAGTCATATAAGAACACATCAAGAAGGCAGCCATCTGCAAGCCAAGGACAGAGCAATTTCATAAGACACTAAGCCTTCCAAACACCGTTAACTCAGACCTCCTAGTCTCTGGATGTATGAGAAAATAATTTGTGCTGTATAATGCACCCAGTATGTCATATTTTAAAATGGCAGTTCTAGCAAACTAATACATAATCATAATTATTTGTATACTACAAATATATTTACAGAAATGATGGTTTTAGTCAATCACAACTTTTATTTAGTGACTGTTTCTGAAATGCTACTGGACCACATTCCTTAACACAAACTTACAGCTTTACAAAGAGTGCTAGAGAACAATTTGAAAAACTGTCCACCATGCACAACAATATGGTGAAACTCTACGAGAACCTTGGAGAGTACTTCATTTTTGATCCTAACACAGTGGCCATAGAAGAATTTTTCGGAGATCTCAACAACTTCAGAACTCTATTTTTGGTGAGTACTTTATTTTAATGCTTACAAGGACTTTTCTTACTTTTAAACTTCTGTTGGCATTTTTATGTGTCTATTCACTATGACAACTTCATGTTACAGACCTTTAGTAGGAATTGACAATTATTTTATAACTATGGCATATTTAAAAATCATTGGCTGCTTCTTGTACAATTGGAACCTAAATGACTTTTGTTCTAGTTTGTTTCTCCATTGCCATGATAAAACACTCTGACCAATACCAACTTGGGGAGGAAAGGGTTTATTTTATATTTCATCTCTTGGGTTACAGTTCGTCACTAAGGGAGCCCAAGGTAGGAACTCAGGGCAGGAACCTGGAGGCAGGAGCTGGAGCACAGGCCATGGAGGAATGCTGCTTTACTGGCTTGCTCCTTTGGCCCATGCTCAACCTGATTTCTTGTACAACACAAGACAACCTACCCAGGGGTGACACCACCCACTGTGGGCTGGGCCCTCCCACATCATTCAACAATCAAGAAAATACCCTAATGACATGGCCATAGGCCAGTCCAACTCACCATTTGAGGCTCCCTCTACCCAGGTGTGTCAAGTTAACAACCCTAAAGGGATCTAGCACAAGTTTTCTTAACTTAAGGTGTACACAAAAAAATATTCTACCAAAAATTTATAGAAAACAAATGAATTGATACTTAAGTGACTCTGGTTTACATGTTAGAATATTATCATTATACCTAGCTTAAATATTCATGTCTAAAAATTACCTTTTACCACATTATATTGCTTTGATGTATGAATAGGTTTCTTTTGCAGCCTGAATGAGAAAGGGAGTTTGACCTGAACTATGTGAATGACTTTGAATACTTCAAATTACTTTCAAAAAGAAAAAAAGCTCTTGCTTTAAACTATAAGCTGGCAACTGTGCCTATAAATATTAGCATTAATTGGGGATAGGCAGTTAGTGTGCAACTTATGATCTTAGAAGGAAGCAAAGGTTTTGTGTATAAATATTTTATTAGTGAATCTCTGAGTCCAGGAGGAGCACAGATTATGATAATGATGGAAATGGAAAGATCTTTACACTAGATAATAAGTCAATTTCCATATATTTGAGAAAAGAACCTCTATTATCTCCAGCAGGAAGATCAGATAGCAACCAAATTATATGCAGTTTGAGGTATGATTCTCTCACAACAAAACAGTTATTTGTTAAGTAGACTCTGTTAATCACTGATATTTCCTCGTGAAATTGTTTGATTGTAGTGCAACTTGGACAGTTTATTAGGTGGAAATATGCTTGTAGAAACAAAATTGCTTTCGTCTAGTAGTCCATGAGATACGAAGCACGGTGCATCCCAACAGTTAAATGAGCAACTCTGCTAATGGAAGCTATACCAAAACCTTCATAAATATTATCATTGCCTTTCATGTTTGTGCTGAGAATATTAGCTGATTTTGGTCTTTGACCCTTAACAGAGACACATATTTAACTTTTCAGTGACCCGTAATTAGTATGTAATCTACTAACAAGAAAAGAGCTAAGAAAAAGTTGTCAAGTCATGTTCAATATTTAAAAGATATAAATATGATGTGAATATATAAATACAGGCAAAACCGACTTGAGTTATTTTCAATAAAGAAAAAAGAAGAGCAGTAATGTTCCTTTTTCTGTGGTTTCACTTTCTGTAGTTCAGGTTAATTGTAGACCAAATAATTAAATGAGAAATTCCATTGGTAGACAACTCAAAAGTTTTAAATAACTTTTATTAGAAGACATGTTTATAATTGTTTGATTTCATTATTATTGTTAGTCTCTTATTTTTGCTGACTTACCTACATGAGAACTAGGTATGCAACTTATTGGCAGTCTTGATCTTGGGTTGTTCATGTAATTTCTCTGGGCATTGGTTTCCTCATCTATAAATTGGGATGATACTTCCTGCCTTCTCACCAACAAAGGGAAACACCCGGTATGTTGTGCTATGTATCTGCCCGGTTTCACTACTCATTCTCTGATCATTCTTTCAGTTATTTATTGAGAATTAACTTGCTTTTGTTGTTCTAAGCCAGACATGAAGGGAAAAAAGTAGTCTGTCTCTATGAATAACTACAGGCAGATACATCCATTAGAACTTGCTATGTCCTGCCCCAGACATATATTATGGCATAATAATACAAAGGAGGAAGTGCCTAATTCTGCCTGTGGTGACCAGAGAATCTCTCATAAGGAGCTTAACGTTTGGACAGAGTCTAGAAAAATCCATAGGTGGTTGACAAGCAGACTTTGACAAGCATGTTTAAGGATTTTATTCTTGACCTATAGGTTGAAGACTCGTAAATCGACATCACCAGCTTCAGTCTATTGCTGGAGCTCCCTATGTTCCTGTTTCATAGTGACTACACTCTCCCAGGGGAGAAAAGAACCCTGAAAGGGAGATGAAAACTGGAACCACTAGAAGTTCCCATTTTCTTAGTGCTTTCTGTGTTTGGCCTCAGGGTTCTTAGTGCTAAAAGCATATTGGACTATAGATGGAAGCAATAAAATACCAGTAGTGCTGAGAAGAAAATAAGACTTCTGATTCATGTGCTACAAAAAATTACTTCCAAATGAGCTCAGAGCTTCATCTTGGGAGATGTATTTGGCATGTGTAGCATAAACAAAATGCACATACTAAAAAATCTTCCTCAGAGAGAGATAGCCTCAGAAAGATGGGAAAAACAGAAATAAACAAAAGGAACTGACATTACAGATTAATGTCTTTTTCAAAAGTATCCCATTAAAATGACTGAAAATTAAATGGGGTAATATCTATGGAATACTGCTCTATACATTATTAACATCATACTCAGCTAGTGAGGATATTGACAGTATTCAAGACGTTGGTGTACAAATATATGTAATTGGAAACATTTCCAAATTCAGCATCTGTCTTTTTAGTTAGTTTCTCTGAGATTTCATCAGTTATAGAAACAGGAGATAATTTCATCAGGATTAATTTATAACCCCTAAATTCCAGTTGGATGCTTTGTGGACTCAAATTCCATATTTATGCAGTGCCTAAATGTTTTTATTTTTCTTTTTCTCCTTTATGTTTCGATCTTTCTACTACTTTAAATAGGTGATTGTACAAATAGTCTTTTTTTCTTCTGAGATGTTTTTGAATAGAATATTCAAACCCAGTGAACCTCACATGTTTCACCACTATACAATATAAAAATTAATTTCAGCTGTTGGAAAAGTGTTTGAGGCAAGTATTTTCTTCAATAATTTTCATAGCTCCATATAAATTATAGAAAATACTTCTTTTCTCTTTTAAATCTGTCAGTTTCCTGCTGCTTCTGTGTGTGTTATTTTAATGAACAATATGTTGCCAAGGCACTCAATAAATATTTGTTCTGTTTGTCCTCGATTCTATAGCTCTTAGATGAGAAATACAGGAATGCAGCTTTGTAGAGTTATTAGATACATTGACATAACTTACAAAGATATTTCCATAACTATTAATCATGCTAGCAGATTTTCCCTCATCAAAATAAAAATGTGCAACTGTTTACTTGATAAATAAACTTTCAAACCAATCTAAGAAGAGAATTAAAATGTTTAACTGTTAGAAGAGTAAATGATAACAAGAAATAACTCCATTGTTTTTCGCTCTTGTTCAGTCTTGCTGCTTCCTAAATGTCTTTTCAACCTGTCAAGGTTATTTTTTTTGTTTTGTTATTATTATTTTTTCTAGCCTTACTGGCACTATTTGAGTTCTGAGCCTCTACCATCTCTCAGCTGAACTATAATGACTTTATGTTAGTTTTAGTGGTATCTGTGTTTGTACATTTGTTTGTTTTTCCTTGCCTGTCATAGAATCCAAGGCTTGGTGCTTTCTAGGCTAATACTTGACAATAAACCAAACCCCCTGCCTTTCCAGTATACTTCTATTTTCTAATCCATTCACCAGGCTATCGTCAGAGAAATACTGAAATCCAAACAAAAGAAAAAAAGTTAACATTACTTTCCTGGCTTAAAATTCCGTCATGCATTCCCTAGTGGCCTCACAATGAATTTGAACTTTTAAAAACTAAAGTGTTGTGCCGGGAGTGATGATACAGATCATTAATCCCTGCATTCCAGAGGCAGAGGCACACAGATCTCAAAGTTCTAGGCCAGCAGGGCTACAGTGCTACATAGTGAGACCCTGTCTCAAAAAACAAACAAAAATTAAATATTTACAGAACTGTAGTTATTTAAAAGGCAGACCCTCTATAGTTGTTCCCAAATGTGCCACAATCACTTAATCACTCTTTCTAAGATAGGAAAAATCACATCTGGAAGACAGAAGCAGCAAAAGACACTAGTGGATTCCTAAGAAAGACTAGAGCCTGGCAAAAACTGAGAGAAACTTTGGAAACACAAGATCAATACTAGAGGAAGGCTGAGAAGCTAGTGTGGCATTGAGACTGTGTCGTAGTTGTTCCTGTAGCTGGAAAGCCATAGAGAATTATGACAATCAAAGCTAAGTGCATGTCAGTTTTAGAGATGTTCTTCCTTCTGTGTTAAATAACTATTCTTTTAAAATCTGAACTGGATTTATTTTGTTTTGTTCTGTTTTGAGACATGGTGTCATGTAGCCCAGGCTAACTGCAAACTAATTGTGTAGTCCAGGCTGGCCTTGAACTACTAATCCTATCTCTATCTCCTAAATGCTAAGATCACATGCATATACCAGAATACTTCCCAAAATAATTTGAATATATACATATATTTATTTATGGACATATATATAGGGACATTTTATTGATTTTTATGAAAATCAAAGTGAAAATCTAAATTGTGAGAGCTCTCTGTAGCCATATTGGCTTAGGGAGATATTTTATTTGGAGAACTCCTCATTTCTCTGAAGCCATCTTCTCCTTGACAAGGCCTTAGTCTTCTCTAAGAGTAAACCATAACTAGTATACCAAGGAGAGGATCTACATTTAGTTAAACTCAAAAGACTAAATTGATAATATATAGGAAAATTTATTCATTC